TATTATTATATTATTATTAATGTTAGTCAAAGTATAAGAAAAAATAAAATAAGTATAAAATGTAATTCAATAATAATAATAAGTCAAGTTTTATTTTATTTTATATGAAAACGCGTTTCGAGTTAAAACAAAATATTATTATTATTATTATTATTAAACTTATTGTGATCGTGCAGAAAAAAAAATTGATTTGAACGCCCTTTGTTCTTGTATGTAATTTTATCGTTTTAAGTTTTATTGTAAATTTATCCTCTCTCCCCCCCAATGAAAAAATGTAAACTTTTTTTTTTTTAATCAATTTATTTATTTATTTTAATTTTATTGCATAAAATTACATGTTGAATAATTATGGGAAAAAAAATACATAAAAAAATTTAATTTTAATAAAAATATAATTTATTATTGTGAATTAAAATTTTTCTTTTTTTTTTTTCATCCTTAATGTACATCCTTATACACAGTATACAAATTTCAATTTTTTTGCCTAAAAAACATCGAAAATTTTGGCCAAATGTATCAGAAAAACATAATACCCAAGGAGGTATAGAAAAAAATAAAATTCAAACAATGGATTCCCGCTTAAAATAAAATGTGTGCCAGGTAAAATATACAAGGTCGTCCTACTTAGCGTAAACAGTAAACAAGGTCGACCTTGGTTGAAAAATCGTGACCATGAAAATTTTCACAAAATTGAAATGTAAAACCAATGGCCTTGGATTCAAGGTCGACCTACTTTAGAATAAATCGTAAACGTTGGATTTTCGCGCTGGTCATTTTTAACTTAATTTTTAATCGAAAATTTTTTCCTATGTATCCGTAAAACATAATATTCAAGGAGGTTTAATAAAAAATAAAATGGAACAGTGGATTTTCGCTTAAAATCAGGAGTACAAAATAAAAAACAAATAATTAATATAAAAAAAAATAATTATATTACAATAAATTAGACTAAATTACAAAACTTTTGATACATACATAACTTCTTATAACTAAATCACTAAATAAAATTATTAAAAATTAATTTAATAAGTTGACATGATGTAAACGCATGTCAACTTATTTAATTTTAATTATTATTATTATGGTCACTCTTAAACACGACAAGGATCTTATTCTGGTATGCTGCTTCTATTTGTCGTAAAATTCTTCCTCTATCTTTTCTGCTGACATATAATCTATCCACATCAGCCTTTGGATGTAACGCACCATTCATAGTTAATATTTTCCTTGTTCTTTGGTCCAGGTGTGTGATTTCTTCTATTGTCCAATCGACAAGGCCAAAACTATATTCTATTACAGGAACTGCTAATGTGTCACTTGGTGTTTAACTTATTTCTTCCATTCAGTTCCGACTGTAATATAAGCCTCAATCTTTTAAAATATTCTTTCTTCAATTGAGATTTAATTTTCTTGTTTGCTACCCCAAAATTTTCTTCAATCCCCAGATATTTGTATGTTGATCCAGAGTCCAATTCTTTAATAAGTTCTTCTTCTGAGTCTTCTATATTTTCCTTCCATTTTAACTTTCCTCCTACAATAATAACTTTTGCACATTTTTCCAAACCAAATTTTATGTTGATGTCAGAGGAAAAAGTTTGTATCGTCCTTAACATTTTCTTCAATTCTTCTTCACTCTTCACATATATCTTCAGATCATCCATGTACAACATATGGGTGATTTTCCTGCCTCCTGGTACCAACTCATATCCTTGATCCTTGATATTAAGCTGTCTGGACAGAGAGATTAGAGACATGCAGAATAATAATTATTATTATTATTATTTAACATTTGAAATTTTTTTTTTTTTTTGTTAACCCAGGAGAAATGAAGCATTTCGCACTAACCTCTCCCCACCCTGTAGCAGGAAGAGTGTTGGGGGACTCAAACGAAGTCACTACCCAACTAAAACTCCTGGATGTGCTTTGCTGCACTTTTTCCTGGGGAGTAGAGGCAGTCGCAGGAGTATGACTCCCATTTCAGCCTCAACCTCAACCCTTCTCTCAAAGCTGGAATCATCAGATTCGAACTTGCAAAGGTGAGAGCAGATTCCCCTCTGGCATAGGCTGTTACAGAGATTCGCTCTACCCAATTGGGATACTCCCCTCAACCATGTGGGAGGCATTCCCGAGGTATCACTTTCGGTCCTGCCTCCCATAATTACACATGTACATATACATACATAATTTAATACAGTATTCATGTTAGAGTGAATTCATATTCAGATAAATGAGAAACATTTGATCTTTCTGTGACTATCCTACGATAATCCCAACAGTGAAAATCTCTTTCGTCTAATTGAAGATATTTTGTGCAAAGGTTTAATTCTTTGTTCCAATCAGGTTTGAGTAAATTGTCCAATATCCATATTCTATGATGCCAACTACCATAGTATTTTGGATTTACTCTCAGGCACTGTTCTGTCAATTGCAAATCTTTTTCCAATAGTTGTTGATAACTCTCCAAGTCCTCGTCGTTTCTCAACGACAAAAATATTTCTCTTCAAAAATTCCATAATGTTATTATATCTGGATTTCCTGTTAATAAATTACCGGTGAGATTTAAACCTTCTTCCTCGTGTATTTGTGAAGAACGTTTTTCTAATATTTGATTCATTATTTTTTTAAATTCTATTGCCTTTTTCTGTTTCTCTTGCCTTGCGATTTCTTTTTGTTCTTCTGTCGTTCTTATTTTGACTCTCCCGTGCATTTTGTAATTTTTTTAAAAACAAATTTTACGATTTTTATTTGAAATTAGTAAGGGAAAAATTACTCACAATGGGAAATAGTAAAACTAATAGTTATCATAGACATCAATTTAAACTTAATTATATCGATGGTAAATAAAGTGTCATTAGAAAAATGTATTTCACTTTAACGTGGAACTTATAAAAATATGGAAGCTGTTAACGTAGCCGATACATGAATATTTTCGTTAAATAATTTGTTTTATGTAAATTATTGGGTTGGCCAGTAAGTAATTGTGCATTTTACCAACAGATAGTTTGTCCATTTTTTTGAGTACGTTTACTGTTATTACTTGGTTCCTTGTGTAACATTCAGTACCAAAATTTCATTGAATTCTTAAATAGTGCGCGAGCAAAAGACATTTAAACATGGGGAGCCAAAGCGAGAAGCACAGAAGGAGCAAAGAAGCTAGATGTGTCACATAAGTGCCTTCAAAACTACCTACGGTGTCTTGGGTACTGAAAGAAGCTTGTTGCATAACCTTGGGAAGTGCAAGACAACTTGGTCTTTGCGATATGCTTGTTAAACGCAATGCGAATGACCCATTTTTGAAGCAAATGGTCACCGGAGATAAAAAGTGGGTTTTATATGACAACCTTTTGTGCAAAAGATCCTCATGGTCTAGGCAAGGCAAACAAGCATCAAAATAGGTACTGTTATCAGTTTGGTGGGATTACAAAGGCGTAGTATACTTTTGAGGTGCTGACACAATGACCATAAATTCAGAGGTTAAATAATGTCATCCAAGAAAAATGACGAGAGCTAGCCAATAGAAAAGGAATTGTCTTTCACCACGATAATGCCAGGCCCTCCCCATCTTTAGCCACTGGACAAAAACTACTGGAGCTAGGCTGGGATGTTTTCTGCACCCTCCATATAGTCCCAAACTAGCTCCAAATAATTATCATTTTTTCTGATTCCTAAAGAATTTTTGAATGGACAAAAATTCCAAAACAACAATGAGGTCAATTGTACTGCATTGGACCAGTTTTTTGCTCCTAAAACTAAAGAGTTTTATGAAAAAAGGAAAATGATACTACCAGAAAAATGTCAAAAGGTCACCAATAATAATGGACGTAATAATTAGCGCCATGTATTATTTCCATGATGTTTGGACTTCTCTTAGATCAGGAGAAAATAATGATATTATAATGTGGCAAGGTGTACCCTATGGTTTATTGTGGTATGTTTTCATATTGGCAGCATTTCAAGTACATTTTTTTTCCATATATTTTGCATGGAATTTAAGAAATGCTTGGAAAACAAGAGGATCCCATAAGAAATCCGGTAATTTTAATATTTTAGGACCTGGAGGTATCGTTTCACCGCAACACAGATCTCTTCCTCCCACAACGGTGCGACCTGGAACGACGACGGCCGTACCCCAGCCCGGTCAAACGCCGGCCAAACAATATCGAGTCACTGCAATACCTAAACCCATGGGATTAGATCCTCTCACAATTCTTCAAGAAAGTGAATTGCTTGAAGCTTGTACGCGTCGCGATACCACGTTAGAAACTGCCGTTAATGTAAAAGCATACAAACGAACCAAACGTCAAGGTTTGAGAAGCAAGAGCAACTGAAAAACTTGAGAAACAGCAAAAATTAGAAGCGGAAAGAAAGG